AGATAGATGTCTGACCCGTGATATACAGCTCGGGCTAAACTCACTCTATGTTTCTGTCCGCCACTCAAATTGATTCCCTTTTCGCCGATTTCTGTCAAATCCTTTGCCGGAAGTGAATTGAAATCCGCGTCCAAAGCACACGCTTCCACTACCCGTTCATATTTGCTCCGATCGTAGTCCGACACAAACACAATGTTTTGTCTGAGACTCAAGTTTTGAATCCAAGCCGATTGTGGCACATAAGACACCGAACCCCTCATTGCACTCCTCGAGCCTCCCATTTGGTACATATCTCCCATTAGGGCTGAAAATAGGGACGACTTTCCCGATCCCACTCTTCCCACGATCGCAACCAACGATCCCTTCTTTACATTCAGTGTAATATCCTTTAGAATCGGCTCTTCTTCTAAACCCCACGAAAAGCAACACTTTTTCAAACACACGGCATATCTCTCATCACTTGAATCGTCTCTTCTCTCCAGACTTTCGTCTAATTCTTCACAACTTAAATATTTACGAATTCTTCGAAACGAGACAATAGCTCTCGTCAAGTGGGTTAAGGTGTTGGGAAGTCTGAGATTTGTACAAAATATAGTAAATTTAGTACTGCATGTGAACTAAATTATAATAAATGTTGAATACCTGGCCATTGGAGCTCTCAATAAATTAAATACAGAGAGCGAAACAAAAGCCGTCTTCGCAGTGAAAGGCAGTCCGGATGTGATCGTGAATACAGTAAATGTAAATCCGGCGATAATCATAGGGACAGCCGTCCAGACAACCTCCATAATAGCCCAATAATTGTTAGTCAGACCTAATTTGTGTAACTCTTCGCGTCGTGTTTTGGATATCCTATCGATGAACGGCTTCTCCCAACCAAACAGTTTCAGGAGTTTTACATTATTTAATACTTCACTGATTTGTTCCATACGTTTGTCTTTGAGCTCCATTTGTTTGGTTTGAAAATCATCGATACGTTTCATAATATACGTTGTGAACGGACCCACGACTAGCATAACACCGAACATAGTCAGTGATGACGGACCCAATTGTTGCCACAGAATATAGACTCCGATTCCAAGACTTGTTGGGATTGAATACAATGTTGTCATTGAATGGAGTAAATCACAGACCTCTCCGATATCGACACCCATTATGTTATTGATTTCACCTTGATTGATTTGAAAAATTATTATTTAACAATAATTACAGAATATTCTGTTAATCGTCTACCGGTTGTGTATTCCCTACGAGAACTGGCACTTAGTTTAAGCATTTTTCTATAGAGAGCTGTTATGAGGGACGACTTCACCCTATAATAGGCGAGACTTATGAACAGATAGGAGTGGGCGTCAAATAGTCGGGCCAATAGGTTAGAGAAACAGTAGGCCATTGCGTAACACAATCCGTGCCACAGATGGTCGGACTCGGACACGAAGTCTATGAGTTTGGACAGAATGTAGGGCTGAATGAATTGGGCGGCGATGTTACCGAACTCCATGAGCGCCGACACTGTGAATGGCACCCAACACGTCCACCATATCATTGGCAATAATCTGATTTCTTTGACCAATGGATTTGAATTGTATTTCCTGTTCATTGATTCGTACGAATCGAAAGCATTCTTGGATTTAATGTAATCACAAATGGGAAGCAAATGTTGACTCAAATCAGTGTTTGTTTTGTAGCCGTGTTTTAGGATGTCTTTGAGCCAAACAATAAATATTTTGGAGAATATATTAAAGTCATTCATCGGACATATGTGTCGACTATCGGAGTCTAATATTTGAAATTCAGACACTTTTTGATTAAGACATGAGAGGACCAGAGCTTGAAGTGTAAGGAATGCTTCAATAGATCTCAATATAGTTTCCAATACAAGGTTTTCGTTATTATTTATTTGCAGGAATTGATACATATTAATGGATACGACCACTAAGCTGGTCAACCATTGGATAGGTATGGAGCTGGGGTGCCGGTGCCCGTACCGACGGAATATCACAATAAAAGTGGTGACCAAGAAGTAAGTGATAAATTTGATTGAATGCGAAAATATTTCGCTTATTAATAATAAATGGATTTCATTCTCAAAATATTTCCACAAACTCTTCGCTAAGTTTATAAATGATATAATATTCAAGCAAATGATTGTTAGCTATAAAAGTAAACGAACAAGTTAATATTTTAAAATATAAAACTAAATTTTAATAAATACCAAGTGCAATAAATTTCTCCATTGATAGGGAATTGGCGGTAATTTTTGATTGGATTTGCGGACAACATATATATCGTACGGAAGAAGTAGTAATAGGACTGAGAGTGGAATCAATGGTAATACTGTTTGTGTGAAACAGTCGGTCAGTACCGGGATATCGGAATCCCAACTCAGAGTCCAGTTCTGGAAATGTTATATAATATATATAATTTTTTTGCATTTTAAATTGATTCAAGGAAATATTTGATGTCTATGTGTAAGATTTTAAGTGCAATTGGAAAATGATAAATCAAATTGTATAAAAATGATGTTTAGTTATGAAACTTAAATTTTCCAAGTTTGGATTTTAACATAAAAAAAGAAATACTACTGTACTGTATAATTATGACATATACGGTAATTAGCAATAATACTGTATTCATTGTTATGAGATAAAGAGTTGTGACAAAACTCACCCAAAAAGCCGTATTACAAAACATAATTGACTTATTTTGTGACATTTTATTGCATTTATTAAAACTTATTAAAAGTTAAGTTAAACTCCAAAAATCTGGTTCATTATAACTGATTGGTACTGAATATTAACATTATTAAATATTCACTATAAAAACATGAGAATCTATTAACAAGTAACAAGGTGGTGAAAAATATATTTATTCAATACTTATATACTAAAATTTTGCACATTTATTAAATTACAAACAATCGATGAAATAATAATTTGAATCACTTTTCAAAGTTGTGATCAGAAAATACAAAAAAGCATTTATTCATTAAAAACTACTGTAAAAATCAAAATCAGTGCTAAAAATATTTGTAAAATAGTCGCTATATTACATAACATTTGTTAAACAATATATTTGAGAGCAAATAGAAACTTATTTACTGTTAAATACTCTAATCATTGCGAATAAGTATATGTATACAAAAAAAGTTGAAAATCACTATAGATTTAATCAAGTCATTGATAACAAGCACTTTAATGATTAGTATTTCGGTCACAAAATATTAATATTAATAATTAGTGAACACTTTGTGTGATAAGACATATTCAGTGACTATGACTGCATTCAATAATTATATTGAATATCCATTGAACACGATATGAATATTATATTGACGTAAATGTATGTATCATTCAATTTATTAGCGTTTTTGTGACCGAAAACCAAACGTTTGGACAATTGATGGCAACAATCCGTGATTTGATGGAACAGATGGTGACATTAAGTCTCGTATTAAACGTAATCCAAACGCATAGACATTGCTTGGGACTGAAGACATCAAGTGTTGCACCACTCGTGAGCAACCACTTCAGGACATTGGGTCCACTGAACAGACAACACAAACACATGGAGTGAGTGTTCATAGAAAACGTCACATAAATAGTGGACAGGGAGTTGAGGTGAGTGTAGGTGCTTATAGGCTTTGCATAGCATATGGGGACTCGTATTGATTGCATTGTATTTATGAATTATACAGAATATTCTTATCAATTGAATTGAACTGAAAATGAGTCTCATATGCAATAAATAGGATTACAGTCTGAGTCTTATATATGATAAGTGAATGCAAACAATAAAACACTTAACCTTAATGTACTATAATTGGATAATCGAGATAAAAATAATCGGAATAATAAAAACTAATTGCTATTATTAAATACACAAATTATTAGATATTACAGAACTATACTTTGGGAAAATGAAATAACTTTATACGAAAATATTAAGTGAATGTATGTTTATTTTAGTCGTTATAATAAATATAATACAGAATATAATAAATGATGAAATGATTTGTTTGTATGAATCGATGCACTAAACAATTCCGAACTCTTTGGCCAAACCATAGAACAGAGAATCAGGTCTTTTGAGTAAATTGTTCGGTGAATCCATTTCAGCGATGACTCCGTTGTCTAAAACCAAAATCTTGTTGTAATCCAAGACTGTATTCAATCGGTGAGCGATTGTCAAAACAGTGCAGTCACTGAACTCATCCCTAATAGTCGACTGAATCAGTGAATCACAGCGATGACTCCGTTGTCTAAAACCAAAATCTTGTTGTAATCCAAGACTGTATTCAATCGGTGAGCGATTGTCAAAACAGTGCAGTCACTGAACTCATCCCTAATCGTCGACTGAATCAGTGAATCGGTTTCCAAATCACAGGCAGCCGTCGCCTCGTCGAGGATCAGGATCTTTGAGTTGCGAAGAAGTGCTCGCGAGAGACAAACCAATTGTCTTTGACCTGCACTCAGATTATCACCACTTTCTGTGATCTCATACACAGGCAGCCGTCGCCTCGTCGAGGATCAGGATCTTTGAGTGGCGAAGAAGTGCTCGCGAGAGACAAACCAATTGTCTTTGACCTGCACTCAGATTATCACCACTTTCTGTGATCTCATACGAGAGGCCATCGGATGTATGAGATATGAAGTCCTGTCCATCAAAACAATTATCAATGTTTTAATTAAAGCTATATTTTGTGTATATTTCTGACACTACCTTCAGGTGAGCCCTTTCTAATGATGTCCACAATTCTTCGTCAGAATATTCCTCAAACGGATCCAAATTGAGTCGAAGAGTTCCGGCGAATAGATTGGGTTCTTGTGGTATAAATCCAAATCACAGGCAGCCGTCGCCTCGTCGAGGATCAGGATCTTTGAGTGACGAAGAAGTGCTCGCGAGAGACAAACCAATTGTCTTTGACCTGCACTCAGATTATCACCACTTTCTGTGATCTCATACGAGAGGCCATCGGATGTATGAGATATGAAGTCCTGTCCATCGAAACAATTATTAATGTTTTAATTAAAGCTATATTTTGTGTATATTTCTGACACTACCTTCAGGTGAGCCCTTTCTAATGATGTCCACAATTCTTCGTCAGAATATTCCTCAAACGGATCCAAATTGAGTCGAAGAGTTCCGGCGAAGAGATTGGGTTCTTGTGGTATAATTGTTAACTTCGACCGCAAGTCATGTAAACCAATACGAGTCACATCCACGCCATCGATCACTATCTGTCCGAATGTCGGCTCTATTATCCGAAACAACGCCAAAGTGATCGACGACTTGCCGGCGCCCGTCCGGCCAACTATTCCCACCTTTTCTCCCGGCTCTACCCTAAAGTTCAAGTTCTTGAGAACCGGTTCGAGTCCTGGTCTATAGGAAGCGCTATAATCAATGAACTCTATGGAAGCACTTCGGGGCCAGTGTTCGGAGGGTTTGTTAGCATCCGTTGATTCCCAACTATATTCCGGTTCGAGTTGTGTATACTCTTTGACTCTTTCAACGCAAACCATTTCAGTCTCGAGTTGTCCGCCCATTCGTAGTGACATTGCAATGCTGTTAATCACGTCAATGGCGTACATAAGCAAAAAGCCGGCCAAACCGGGAGTTATTTTATCCCGCTCTAAGACCACTATCAGTGCGTTTGGGATTGTAATTAATGTGCCCAGAAGTATTGACCAAATATCAATCCTAAGAATATTTTCAAATAAACTATAATAAAATTTTATTTCAGATGGAACTTGGTAAATGAACTACAAACCACATGGTTGTTTGGTAAACATGTTTTGCTATATTATTGTTCACATCAATAAAGTTTTGCAACTTTTCGGTAAATAATTGTTGGACTTTATAGACCCGTATGGAGACCGCACCGGAAATGCATTCATTAAAGTGACTATAAATCGGTGACCGAGTGATAGAATTTAAACGATTTAATTGTCTTGAAGTCCACAAATAGATTCTCTGTTTTAAAATAATTAAATTAATTGAATATTTACAGAATAACTATAAAATATTGTCTATAACTCACGGAAATGATTAAAAACAATACGACGACAATAAGCATAAAAATAATGAGATATGCGTTTGAAGACACAATAACACCCAAAATAATTAGAAAATTAACGATACAAAGAAGAGTCTGGTCTAATAGAAAGGGTATATTTTCATCGATCTGTTGAAAGTCACGATTGAATCGGTTTATGATTCGTCCCAAAGGGGTCACATCGAAGAAGGACAGAGGGGTTCGCAGAATGCAAGACAACATGTCTTTGTGGAGCACTTCCGAGGCCTTTGCGGCGCCCGTTCTCATCACCACCTGCTGTATCAACACAGACAAGGATAGCAATGTAATGAGCAATAAATATATACCTAAATAATAATTATTATCATGTGTTTCAGAAGTTTGTATCTTGGTTATGTTCTGTGAGGTCCACACGTTTAACCAGAAATTGGCACCGATTTCACAAGAATCGAAGATAATTAAAGTCATTATAGATATAGATATGAATATAAGTCCCATTTCCTTCCAATACATTAAGTAAACACTGAATTTAATGGATCCAAACTCTCGGGTCTCCTCTTCTATTAGTTTTGAATCCTTTTCCTTACTTTCCTTTTCTTCCTTCAAATTCTTGGTTTCGTTTTTCTCTCTCATAGATATTTGTCGACACAATTGTGCCGTCGATTCACTTTCGCTGACTCGAGAGATCTGTCTCGACATCTGATCCGCACTTCCTTTCGACTGATTGTCCGACTCATTGAACTCGTGGTCGGAAAGCACTCCCCTCTCAGCCAACTCGTCATAACCGCCCGACTCGACAACCCTTCCCTCACTC